GGGAAAAAAGGAAAAAAAGGGGAAAAAAGGGAAAAAAGGGAAAAAAGGGGAAAAAAAGGGGAAAAAAAGGGGAAAAAAGAAAAAAAAAGAAAAAAAAAGAAAAAAAAAGGGGGAACCGTGGAACGGGAAGCATCATCTGTTTCACTGTGGCTCTTGAAGCGGCAATCCAAATTGCTAAAATTAAACGAAATTGCTCACTCGGAGTCACTCCAGGAATCGAACCCTGAACCTGCTTTACTCAAAGCAGAACGCATACCGCAAGGCAAAGTGAGCTGGGATGAAGCATCGTTGTCATTCAGAGGGCTGGGGAATGAATTGTGTAGCTATTAGCTAATATGACATGTTTTTTTTTTTCACCTTACGCGAGGATTCTAGTTCTTGGCAGCGATATAAGCGCCTCAATTCCAGCCTTGTGCCCGCGCTAAGTGAAGGCTGGCCCTGCAATTTCTCTTGCGGTCTATCTTTGGCCTTCAGAGACTTTGTGGGCGCCAGTCGGTTGTCGGGCCCCTGCGTGCTATGAGACCGGGACATCGAGAGCCTTCCAGGCTCTTCCAGGCAGCGACATGGAAACATGCCTTTTGGTCAATCGAGACGCAGGGAGTGACAAAGGCCACGCCGCACAGTTGGGCGCACCTAACTGTTTCGGGCCCAGACCAGTATCTGAATCAGGCCTGGGCACACACACTTTGGGCCGGCGTCAAGCAACTGGGAACTCGGTCGCCAGGACCAGGCTGCCAAGTGAGGCAAGCACTTTCCATATAGGAAAGTGCCCGCCTTCCAGGGAGAACATTCTGGCATTCAGCAAGTGAGCGGCAGCGCTGCCAGTCTTAAGCGCTCGCAAGGCCGCTAGCACCGGGAGCCAGGGCGCACACGGGCGCAAGGAGGAGCGCTGCTGTAGGCAGCGCTGGAGAGCAGCCAGCCATAGCCGGGCTGCATCTCCTTGTATGCCAGTGGGGGTTTGGCAGTGGTCCTTGGTTAGTGGGACGAGTGTGGGTGTGAAGACGAGCGTGAGCGTGTATTGAGAGAGGGGACACACCTGGTTGTGCCGTGGAGGTCTGCATGAGCGGCATCTTCATTGTTCCACTTCTGCTCCTCCTTACTCTACTTCTGCTCCTCATCAGCACCACCGACAACAAAAGAGGGGTCTTCCCTCCTCCGCCTGCTCTTCAATAAAAGTGGACAACCCTTGATATTATTGTTATTGTGTACGTCAGGAGCGGTTGATCTTTTCAATGTATCAAGGGACAGTTATGGGTGTGGTATGTTTGTGGTCTAGCATGCGAGGTTGTCATTTGCATTTCTGAGATTTCTCTAATGACCATAACTGTTCTGTTATGTGCTGGGTATGTGCTGTCTTTTTTCTTCGTACTACGCTTTTACACTATCCTCCTTTCCTCTCTCTCTCTCTCTTTCTCTCTCTCTCTCTCTCTCTCTCTCTCTCTCTAGATGTGTATAAGAGACAGGCATTGTCCATTCTGTCCTTTTCATCACATTGCAGATCCTCGGTTATTACGTACATGGCATATCTGTGCATGTAACATCAGTCCTTTGTTGCCTGACCCTTACCTTCCCTCATAACCTCCCTGTTCCTACCATTTCTCTTTCTTTCCCCCAACGATTTGTTCGTCCTCTCCTCCGATCGCACTCTCCTTCACTGGTTTGGGGGGTTCATTGTGTCCTCCAAGCGCTGATCTCAGTCTTTCCTTTGATACCCTTTCTGACCATCGTCCTTGACCCTGATGCTTGTCCACAGCCTCCTTGCGTTGACCCCTCTACCCCCCTTGCTCGTATTCATTACCATCAAGCTTCCAAAACCCCTGTTGTACTCCCAAAGTAGTGATCCGAGAGCAGATCTGTCTCAGGTTAATTCTGGCTCGAGGATTCCACGTCCTGATGCTGTAGTTCGCTGTTCCGGATACCTTCTTGAAGCGGAATTGTGCCACTCTTTCCAACGGATACGATCATCCCGCAACTCAGCAATTTCCCCCCCTATCAACCACGTCCTGATGAACTTACTTCTAGCCTTCTTCCGCTGCTCTTCATTGTCTGTCCATGTACTCTTGATCTTCTTCCATCTGCATAGAATTTCCGCTGTATCAGAGCCTTCGTCTCCGCCCAGACTTTCTCCCGTGCGTTTGAAGCATCCTCAATCGTTCTGCTGCATCTCTCTTTCCATATGATCCAGAGTGAGGTCTTCCTGATGAGCTCGTACCAGATCCTCTCTGCTTTCCGTGGCCACTTAGGGATGTCAATTAGAAGGAGAAGCTGGGTTGGTTTCTCAGGGAACGGGGAAGTGAAGAGGGAATTCCAAAGGGTGAAGGCTCTCGCCCAATAGTCTGTTGCTTCCTTGCAGTATATTAGGCAGTGTACTATATCTTCTACTGCATTATCTGTGCACACTTTACAGAGGTCAGAACTATCTGGCACAGTCCGGTTCAAGTTTTCTAATATGTTTTTTAACTTTTTTTTTTTTGTTTCTTTGTTTTGTGTGTGTGTGGTCCAGGTGGTAGCAAATGATGCCGACGTGCAGCGATGCCATCTTCTGATCCATCAGACAAAGAGGATGTGCAGTCCAGCCATCGTAGTGACCAATCACGAGGCGCAGATGTTCCCAAGCTTGAGGCTATGGAAGCGGACAACCGGTGCGCGTGAATGTGCAAAGCCCAGTGTCGGGTCCGCCGAACCTTCGGATTTTGTGGACCGAGGAGACACAACAGAAGTTACAGAAGAGAACGGAAGCAAGATGGAGACTGAGAAAGACTCTCAGCCGAAAGTGCTAGAGAGTGATGGGAGGGAGGAGGAACTACAGGAGCTGAGGTTCGATCGAATCCTCTGCGACGTCCCGTGCAGTGGCGATGGAACGCTGCGAAAGGCGCCTGATCTATGGCGGAAATGGTAGGAAAAGGATGAGCCTTGTCTTTTCTTTTTCTTCTTTTTTTGCGATTCACAACAAATTACATTGTCGTTTTTCGGACTCGCCCCCCGCCGCCCCCACCACGGGCCCCACCCCCGCCCCCCCTTCTTTGTTCTCCAAACCATTTCTTAAATGTTAAGAACTTAAGAAAATTACTCTGTCGTTTTTCGGATTTCCCTTCTGTGATGTCCCTTCCTGTCATTTCGTCGGCATGATTTCGCACCTCAAGCTTGAAAGTCACTGACTGGGTGCTGTGCTGTGCTGTGCTGTGCTGTGTAGTTGTGATGAGGTGAAGCAATCAATTATTGTTGTCAATGTGTCACACTGTAAACAAAAAAAAA